AAGTTGTAGAAATGGTATGTGAATTATTCCCTTAGTTGAATTTTTCTTCATGACTTCAAATAACAGTTGTTGTCGTCCTTAAATTAACTTTTATATACACTTGATTCTTCTTCTTTTATTATTTATCATTCACTAAGGAGGGGGAGAGGGAGTAATATATTCAATCAGTCAATTCCCTTTTCCTAACTTTGGCACATTGTTAGTGTGTATGTCTGTGAGAAAACTTCATCCCCCCTTCCTAACTTTGGCAAATGTATATATACACGTTTTTTAATTTTATACAAATGATATTAGAGGAGGGGGAATCGAACCTAGGACCTCGAGTGCATGGGGTAAATGCTCTTAACCACTTGAACTACAAGCTCCTTGCAAACTAACTACATGTTTTTGTCCTTTCTCTTAGGATAATTGTGTTTTGGTGCATCTTAAGTAACTGCTTAAATTTTATTGTAAACTAGCCTCTTGACATACACTTAAGCGTGTGTCAATATTTTATTTTATCCTTGTGTATAGAGAATTGTTGTTGGGCATGGACTCAGTAATCCTTTTTATTATTTAATTATTTGCATTTTAATAGACTATTATTCTATGTATTTCTCTCTCTCTCTCTCTCTCTCTCTCTCTCTCTCTCTCTCTCTCTCTCTCTCTCTCTCTCTTTATTTATATAAAAGGGGATATAATTTTATTAGATCAATAGGAAAAAAGAATACAAAGAACACAAACTGTAAAAGGAACCATCCCCATAGCAATACGGTATACATGGTTAAAAACTTTGCAAGTGACCTGAGCCAGCCGAAAAGCTGAAACAATATGGAGAGAATCACTCTCGATAATAACTTTCTATAACCATTTTCTACAACCATAGTTTCCCCGAATCTAGTCCAATGACATCAAATACATAATTGGCTGCTAACTGGCATGACTCTCTTAAAGAGACTAAGAACACCCAACAAACTCAACTAAGTTTATGGAATTATGAGAGAAAAAAAAACACAGGCAATTCATATAGTTTATGGACTTTATTAACAAAAAAAAGATCAAGACTAAAAATCTAAAACCCAACAAAAGGAAGAACAAACGCCACTAATCTTCCTCCGAGACATGACATAAAGAGCACTACCTAGTCACTTCGGATTATTTGAAATTTACTCATAAGGGTCTTTTGCTTCATATATGTTAGCCTCTCTACCCTTGCTCATGACTCACGAGTTTACCAATAGTCCTTTTTATCATTACTTACGGAAAAAAAAAAATTTGTTTCCTAATGTGAACTCTTATTTCTTGTTTCTTTTAGTTTTTATTATTTGCATTTTCATGTACTATTGTTTTATGTATTTGTCCATTTAAGTGTGTCAATTGGATTTTTTGTTTAATTTATTTACTTTATCCTTATGTATAGAAAGATTTTGTTGATAAAGAATCTCATTTTCATTTTGGTTTTGTAATTATTAACGTATTTGTCCCTTTAAAATGAAGTTGTTGTGTTTTGAAATTTTTTCTTAAATGAGGGCAATTTTGAATTATGCCAAAGTCTAAATATTATCTTAAGAGGCTTGCTAGTTTGACTCACTCGGGCTTGTTAATAGAGTGTAACACGTGTATGTTAATTTAAGTGCATTTACTTCAACTTAGAACATCTCCAAGGGATATGTCAAATGCAAAATGTTAAATTTGAATTTGATGGATTATGTGGCAATTTGACACTTCAAAAAAATTTAACTCCACCTAAATGCCAAATATCATATTATTTTATTATATTTTAAAAAGCAAATAGGGTCCATATGATGCATCAAGTTTTTAAAGATATTAAATGATAGTGGGATCCATGACTACAAAAAAATATTAAAATAATACTTGCCATCAAGCTTTTTGATATGTTATTTTTGACATATTATTCCAGTCTTTAAATCCATGTAGGATTTGACTACTTGGTTTGAGCAATTTTTGCCATTTCATGTCCATGTGGCAATTTGATATATCGGTTGAAGATGCTCTTAGATTGTAAGTTTTCTATTCATTTAACTCATAAAAAAAAGTCTATCACACTAAAAGACTAGTCAATGCAACAAGATAGAGTTGTATGAGTCCCAACAAACGATTCCAATATAACTAATTTTTTTTGTCAAGAATATTACTATTACTTATCATTAAATATTATTTTATCACAAAAAGTGAATGGATCCCAATTTACTTATTGCTTTTCAAGTAGGCAGCATTGCCCACTGGGACTGAATATGTAATTTTTTATTTTATTTATTTTATGAGTAAATCTTACATGCTTGAATGTTTACTTCCTTGAGGATGAAAATGTTTATGTGATTGGCAAATATTGCCTAAACCCTAACCCCTAGTTGCATTGGAGATATTCCATATGTTCTACATCTATTGGATGGTACACGACCCACGCGGTGTACCCAAAACACTAAAAAATTACTCCATATTGAGAATGACCCTAAGCATCAAGGGAGTGTTTTGTTATTAGCTTAAAAACTTATAAGTATTTGTGAGTTAGAAAAGTGCTTTCTATAGAGCATCAATCCAAAATCAATTGACAATGGGTGGAGGCTCAAGATCTTATAACATATTGCAAAACTTCAATCCTCCAACATGCGACACTCTCAACAATGTAAAGCAAAATATTTTACTAAGAATAATTAACACTATATAATATAAGTTTATTTGTTGCCAATTATTTATATGAGATTTAAGTTAATACTAATAACCTCCGTTTAGATGAAGGAAATAACTCGGAATTTATCTAAAAATTGAGAGTTTAAGAGGATAAATTGACAATTCCCTTGTTTGGCAACTTAAGCGTGGAATTTATTAAATGACGCGCGGAAAAAATTGTGGAAATTGGGGCATCAAATTCCCGAGTTTAATTTCCACAAAAATAGGCGTCATTTCACAATAGTGCAATTTACAAAATGTTGTCATTACAAAATTCGACATACATAAATCTAAACATTGAAATCTTCAATTGCCATAAATTGAAAATATGGAAATCTAAATTCCGTAATTTTAGAATTCTATGTAATTTTCAGTTCATTTATCCAAACTGAGGGTATAGAGATCCAAATCTTGAAGTCTCTCTAATCTCTTAAAGAATGAGAGCCCCAAAACTTGACATGGTGACAAACTTTCAATTTGACCATACTTGAGGCGAGGTGCTAAATAGCCTATTTATAGGCTCACTCACACAAAACCCTAATTTCACTATTGATTAAAAATAAAATAAAAAAAATAACCCAAGTCTTTTGTGCATCAATGAAAACCAAAACATACCCAAAGAAAATTTGAAATCGAGTGAACCAAAAACAAAACAAGAAACAATGAAAAAAATATCACAAGCTGATTGACCGGCTGTTTATTGTTCTTCCAAAAAATTCCTTCCCAAATTGTGAATTAATTGAGCCACACAAACCCAATAACTGTACAAAAATATGATCCTTATCAAGAGTGGAAAGAGAATTCTATTCAATTGTGTGCATTTCTTTAATCAATTGCAACGTTTGGATAGAGATTTGAATTAAAAAGATTATAGTGTTTGCCAATTAAATTTTGCTCTAACTACATGTTAAGAATGCAAAGAGAATTCTAATATTCAAACTTACGATAAGATTAAATTTTTTGGATAATCAAATTTTATTTATTTATGATGAGGAACAATACAACAAGAAAGAACCACAGAATAAAGTCCCGATTCACACCGAGACCACAACTATCTATCTGGAGGGCGGATAATCAAATTAATCACCAACACAAACCTTCTTTTTTTTATAATTTTTGTTTGTTTGTTGGAATAAAACATATTATATATATGCAAATAATTTCTTTAAGATTTAGGATTTGAGTTGTTTTGATTCAAAATAAAAAATTGAAAATTTTATTCGGGACACCTGTTGATTTTATTTAGGACACTGTTTGTAGAATGGTTAAGGTTCGGGGTTAGATATCATTTCCCTTGCCATCATGTTTTCAATGGATTTGAATTATAACTCCGCCCTTCTCAATTTCAGTTTGTCCCATTCTGTGAGAAGCAAAAATATTTAGTATGTTAAAACAATCTATTTAAGACTTTAGAATTTTTTAAAGAATCGTAACAATTTGAAAGAAAATTAGGAATCCAGTGATTTTCTAATGTAACAAAAATGATGAAAAGAAAAGAAAATAAAGAGTAGGGACACCCATGTAAATCTTCGTTGATTTGGATATGATCAAATCCAAAATTTATTAAATTTTTGGTTATATCACAAAACCAACAAATTATGAGGAAGCATAGGTCCGCATTAACCCTAAATCTCAAAACTTAGACTAAAGAAGGGAGAAAAAAGCCCTAACTCTGTACAAGCCTCTAGTCCAATGGACTCTGTGTTTCTCTTTTTATATTATTATTATTTTATATTATTAATTAATTAATTAATTTAATATCTCATTTTTCACTCATATAATTCTTTTCTTGTTTTCCAAGGGCTTGAAAAAAATATCGAAAAAAACAAGAGTAAAATACTAAAACAAAACAACTAAAGAAGAGAGCGAGACCTACACACAGAGCCAACAACAATACAAATACAAACCCCACAACCTCTCTCTCCTTCTGTTCTCCTCTTCTTCTTCGCTTCGAATTTGGGGTTTCGCTTCTCTCTCTTCAAATCTCTCGCCCTTTTTCTCCTCTCTGCTCCGTACGGCCCTTCGGCCTTTGGCCTTCGGATGTGTATGCATCCGTCGCCTCCGTCTCTCTCCTCTCTCAGGTACTCCTCTGCCCTCTTTCTCTCTCTATATCTATCGGTGTGTGTATACCTGATCTACTTTTTCAATCAAAAATTGAAATTTATGGTTTCTTTTCTTTTAGACGTTCATGGTTTAGTCTAATCTCCGATTTCGTTTCTGTTTGCTTTTGATTATCTTTTTGTTTTCGTGGGTTTTCATATGTTTTCTTTTTCTGTGTTTGGGTTTTGGGGGTTTGGAGTAGTTTAAAGTAGAGAAGCTGAGGTGAAAATATGACAACCCTAAGATCAAACTTGCCATCGAGGATTCGTCAACTTCTGTCCGCCGACGGTGCTCTCGGGCCGTCCATCAAACTCGACTCTGAGCCTGTGAGTTTCTCTCTCACTCTTCTCTTAGTTTAGTTTACTTTAATTTTACATTGAGTGTGTTGTGTTTTATTGTGCAAAGTTTTGAATTTTGTGCTTTAAAGATTAGGGTTTTATCTCAATCATCAAGGTTACTGATTGGAGATAGCCCATCAGGGTTGTCTTGACTGCTTTTCGATCCAAACGCTTAGATTTAATTAAGTTGAGGTTGTATTGGGCCTGAAAGATGTGTGATTTTCATCCTTAGAATTGGTTTCGTTAGGGTTATTCTTAAGAATTATTTGGTTGTTTGGCTGCTGGTGCACAAGTGAACTTTCAATGCTTAAAATTTCTTACATAGGTAACCCACTGAGTTACTGCTTATTTTGTACTTCCTCTAATAGAGCGATTGCTTTATTATTATTAGTAGTACTGTTTTTATTTTATAGTATGTGGCGAGACTATTAGTTTTAATTTGGTGTTCTTTTTTTTAATTTTTTGCTGTTGATATTCTATGACTAATGACCAGCAGCGTATTCTTCAATTTTTCTTTTTCAATGTAGGCTTTCTGATTTTGTCAGTTTTGTTATACCTTTTTGGGGTCCAGGAAGCGTGGATACATTGTGTGCGATATGAATATAGTATGCTATTGGGTATCCTAGTACAACAATATTTGAAAATACAACACTGAATGCTTGGGATACACTAGCAATTGAAGTTAATCATGTGCAGTTGCATTCATTTTTTCTGAATCATGAAATATTCTGTGGTTATACAATGCAATAATAAGAAGATTGTTTTATTTATATGATAGTTAGAGCATATTCTGAAATTATTTGGATTTTCTTTTATGTCTGGGTACTATACAAAAGCAATTACGTCGTAGCCCAAGTGGTATACTCTATAGACGGTATTGGATGCATGTTATTTCTTTTCCCTAAATGTGGATATACTTGTCTAAAATCAGATACATGTTGGGTGTTGAAGAACAGTGTATTTGATCTATATTTGGTTTGAATATGGCACCTGAATTATGTGTGCTACACATGTTTTGTTGTAATGTTGCCCAGTTGCTCCCTGTTCCCTTATGTTCTGTATACTTTACCTACATTTATCTTTATGTATATGTACAAATAATGTACGGACAGTATTAACATAAGTTTTGAAATAAAGAAGTTTGTTCCTGTCTATTGTTTTAAGATGCACCGCAAGTTTCTAGTGGTATCATTTCTAGGCTGAGTTAGTTGAAAATGCAGAGTCTTTGTATGGCTTTACTGATAAGTGAAACTGTAGAATGAGTTTAGATGAACAACCATTTTTGCCTGAACATGTGGAGCTCCAAATAGTGCGGTCGATAAATAAATTAGAAAGCTGGGGCACTCCAGGGTGGCTTAACATTCATTTATTTTATGGTCAACTTTTGTTCATCAGTTTACTCACCCAGATCTCTACTGTGGGATGCTGGAAATCACGCATGATTTATATACTTAATCCGATCAATTTCAGTAGAGTCATTGGGTTCATACCATTGCCTAAAAGCAGCAGTCCAAAGTGTGAAAATATGTTATTGGAAGGAAGGTTCTTGTCTCTAATTTTTCATAGCCGTATGCCTTAAGCAACATAATTTTTCGTGTGGAGCAAAGCAATATCTACTCTGCACAATGCCCATCATGAAGAAAAGCCTCTGTTTAGCTGTTAATTTGATTGATGAGAAATAAGGTTTTTATAATAAAATATTTATTTAATTTTAAAATTTTAATGTGGGGGTTAAATTATTTTTTTATAGTTCTTTTGGTGGTTTTCCTATATCTATAAGTTTAATGCTTTCCTTATTGTTTTTTCGTTGATCTTTTCTGTTTTTCCATATTTGTTTGCGTGGTGTGCTTAATTGGGCCTCCTTTAAGCTCATAACTGGATTTTGTCTCTGGGATAAGATTTCACTGATGCAATTTTCAAATTTGAGTGCGTTTGTGGTTAAATTTATCTTGAAGTAATGTTTCAGAGTTAAATATCTGCTTTTTTAGGGTTGTGAAATTTTGCATGCGGAGGGAGATATTTCTTCTCCTTTGTTGAGGATTATCATTTTATGTTATACATAGCTTAGTTTCTCAACTACATTTTCTTCCTTCCTGACTATTTAATGGTGGGACACTTTTTGATCGTATTTTGTTGGTTTCAGCCTCCTAAGATCAAAGCCTTTATCAATAAGGTGATACAGTGTCCATTACAAGATATAGCAATACCTCTTTCCGGTTTCCGTTGGGAGTACAGTAAGGTGGTAGCTTCCTACTTTTCTGTGTAAAATTTGTTATTCTTTTTATCCTGTCACTAATACGGTGCTTTGACTTCAGGGTAATTTTCACCATTGGAGGCCGCTTTTTCTGCATTTTGATACATATTTCAAGACATACTTGTCTTCTAGGAATGACCTACTCTTGTCAGATAAAATCTTAGAAGATGATAGTCCATTTCCAAAGCATGCAGTACTACAAATTTTGAGAGTGATGCAAACAATTTTAGAAAATTGCCATAACAAGAGTTCATTTGATGGCTTAGAGGTATGCTGTTCTTGGAGCAAGGAATTTGTGTTTGTATCTCAGCCTATTGTGAAACTATATCTATGCTTTTGCTTTTTTAGTCTGATTTAGCTGCCGGTGCTATTATTTTGTGCGTGTGTCTTTTTAATGTAGCAATATTTTCTCTCCTTTTCAGCATTTCAAGCTCCTACTTGCATCAACAGATCCTGAGGTTCTTATAGCTGCATTAGAAACACTTTCTGCACTAGTGAAAATAAACCCCTCCAAGCTGCACGCTAGTGGGAAGATGATTGGTTGCGGTTCAGTAAACACATATCTCCTGTCTTTGGCACAGGGCTGGGGAAGCAAGGAAGAGGGGTTGGGTTTATATTCATGCGTCATTGCAAACGAGACTACCCAAGATGACGGGCTGAATTTGTTCCCATCTGATGTAGAAAATGATTCTGACAAGTCTCAGTGTCGAATGGGTTCTACACTCTATTTTGAAGTGCATGGGAATGCCCAAAGTACAGAGGAAAGCTCCAGCAATGTAAATAATTCTTCCAGTTTGGGGGTTATACATATGCCAGATCTGCATTTGCAGAAGGAGGATGATTTGAAGATGATGGAACGATGTATAGAGGAGTACAGGGTACCTTCTGAGCTCCGGTTCTCACTGCTGACTAGAATCAGATATGCTCGTGCCTTCCGTTCTCCGAGAATATGTAGGCTGTACAGCAGGATTTGCCTTCTTGCATTTATTGTGCTCGTTCAGTCTAGTGATGCTCATGAAGAACTTGTTTCCTTCTTTGCTAATGAGCCAGAGTATACTAATGAACTAATCAGAATTGTCCGGTCTGAAGAATCAGTTTCTGGAACCATCAGAACCCAAGCAATGCTTGCCTTGGGAGCTCAGCTAGCTGCGTATTCAGCATCTCATGAGCGGGCACGAATCTTGAGTGCATCCAGTATCAGTTTTGCAGGGGGCAATCGTATGATACTCCTGAATGTGCTCCAGAGAGCTGTTTTATCACTTAAAAACTCCAACGATCCAACTTCTCTTGCTTTTGTTGAAGCCCTTCTTCAGTTCTATTTGCTCCATGTGGTTTCATCATCAACTACGGGGAGTAATGTTAGAGGGTCAGGCATGGTTCCAACATTCTTGCCTCTTTTGGAGGATTCTGATCCTTCGCACTTGCATCTAGTCTGTTTTGCTGTCAAAACTCTACAAAAGCTCATGGATTACAGTAGTTCAGCCGTGTCTCTTTTTAAAGAGTTGGGGGGAGTTGAACTTTTGGCTCAGAGACTACAGATAGAGGTACACCGGGTTATTGGTTTGGCTGGCGATAATGATAATTCAATGGTCATTGGCGAAAGCTCAAGATACAGTGATGACCAGTTGTACTCACAGAAGAGGCTCATTAAAGCTTCGTTGAAGGCACTTGGGTCTGCTACGTATGCTGCTGGGAATTCCACCAGAGCGCAACACTCCCATGACAGTTCTTTACCTGCAACTCTTTCTCTGATATTTGCAAATGTAGAAAAATTTGGTGGTGACATTTATTACTCTGCTGTGACTGTTTTGAGTGAAACTATCCACAAAGACCCAACTTGCTTTTCTGCTTTGCATGAAATGGGGCTTCCAGATGCATTTATATCTTCAGTTGTAGCAGGAGTTCATCCATCTGCGAAGGCTCTTACATGTGTACCTAATGGTCTTGGTGCTATTTGTCTTAATGCCAAAGGCTTGGAGGCTGTGAAGGAAAGGTCAGCATTACGCTTTCTTGTTGACATCTTCACCAGCAAGAAATATGTTGTGGCGATGAATGAAGCTATTGTTCCTTTGGCAAATGCAGTGGAAGAGCTTTTGCGCCATGTATCATCACTAAGAAGTACTGGTGTTGATATTATCGTTGAAATCATTGATAAAATTGCTGCCTTCACTGATAGCCACAGCACAGGGGCAGGAGGAAAGGCAAATGGGAGTACTGCTATGGAAATGGATTCTGAAGACAAAGAAAATGAAGGTCATTGCTGTCTGGTCGGTTCTGCTGATTCAGCTGCAGATGGGATCGGTGATGAGCAGTTCATTCAATTATCCATCTTTCATTTGATGGTACTGGTCCACAGAACAATGGAGAATTCCGAAACATGTCGGTTGTTTGTTGAGAAGTCAGGAATTGATGCTTTACTGAAGCTTCTATTACAACCCTCTATGTTCAATCGTCTGATGGGATGTCGATTGCTTTGCACAGTACCATGGTTTTCAAGGGTTTTACTCAACATCACTCTGCTGCACTTGCCCGTGCATTCTGCTCCTCCCTCAGGGACCACCTAAAGAAAGCTTTGTCTGGATTTGGGGCAGTTTCAGGGTCCTTTTTGTTGGAACCTAGGATGGCCTTGGATGGTGGAATCTTTTCTTCTCTGTTTCTTGTTGAGTTCCTTTTATTTATTGCTGCCTCAAAGGACAATCGCTGGGTAACGGCATTGCTTACTGAATTTGGAAATGGTAGCAAGGATGTTGTTGAAGATATAGGGCGTGTCCATCGTGAAGTTTTGTGGCAGATTGCTCTTCTAGAAGATACCAAGTCTGAGGTGGTGGATGACAGTGCTGGTTCTGCTACTACTGAGTCACCACAGTCAGAAACAAATACAAGTGAAACTGAAGAGCACAGGTTCAACTCTTTTAGGCAGTTCCTTGATCCACTTCTCAGAAGAAGGACATCTGGGTGGAGCATTGAATCCCAGTTTCTAGACCTTATTAGCCTATATCGTGACCTCGGTCGTGCCAGTTCTCAACAAAGAACACATTCTGATGGTCCTTCGAATCTTCGGATTGGATCCAGTCAGCAATTCCATCCTTCTGGGTCTTCAGATGCCGTTGGTCCTCTTAATAGAAAGGAGCATGACCAGCAGAGGTCCTATTATACTTCTTGCTGTGATATGGTAAGATCACTTTCTTTTCACATTACCCATCTGTTTCAGGAGCTGGGGAAGGTCATGTCGCTACCATCTCGTCGACGGGATGATGTTGTGAATGTTTCCCCTTCTGCAAAATCGGTGGCTTCTACTTTTGCATCCATTGCATTCAATCACTTGAACTTTGAAGGGCATGCAAATTCTTCTGGATCTGAGGCTTCCATATCAACTAAATGTCGGTATTTTGGTAAAGTTATTGATTTCATTGATGTCAGTCTACTAGAGAGACCAGATTCATGTAATGCCGTTTTGCTAAATTGCTTATATGGACATGGAGTTGTCCAGTCAGTTTTGAAAACATTTGAAGCTACAAGTCAATTGCTCTTCACAGTTAGGGTTCCTGCATCTCCCATGGAAACGGATGATGGGAATGCAAAGCAGGATGAAAGGGAAGATACTGACCATTCATGGATTTATGGTCCTTTAGCTAGCTATGGAAAACTTATGGACCACCTGGTAACGTCTTCTTTCATATTATCTCCTTTTACAAAACACTTGCTAGCACAACCCCTGGCAAATGGAAATATTCCTTTTCCACGCGATGCTGAGACTTTTGTAAAGGTCCTCCAATCTATGGTGCTGAAGGCAATTCTTCCTCTCTGGACTCATCCCCAGTTTGTTGATTGTAGTTATGATTTTATTAGTGCTGTTATTTCTATAATCAGACACATATACTCTGGGGTTGAAGTGAAGAATGTTAGTAGTAGCTCCAGTGCCCGTATTACTGGCCCGCCTCCTAATGAGACAACCATTTCAACAATTGTAGAGATGGGCTTTTCCAGGTCTAGGGCGGAAGAAGCTCTGAGGCAAGTTGGATCAAATAGTGTGGAGTTGGCTATGGAGTGGCTGTTTTCCCATCCAGAGGAGATTCAAGAAGACGATGAACTGGCTCGTGCACTTGCCATGTCTTTGGGTAATCCGGGTAATCCTGAATCAGACACTAAGGAAGCTGGTGCAAATGACAATGCTCCGCAGCTTGAAGAGGAGATGGTCCAACTTCCTCCTGTTGAGGAGTTGTTATCTACGTGCACAAAGCTTCTGCAGATGAAGGAACCTCTAGCTTTTCCAGTTCGAGACCTACTTGTGATGATATGCTCCCAAAATGATGGTCAATATCGGCCTAATATCATCTCGTTCATTGTTGATCGGATAAAAGAATCTAGTTTGATTTTTGACAGTGGAAACAGTACCTTGCTATCTGCTCTTTTTCATGTTCTTGCTTTAATTCTTCAAGAAGACGCAGTTGCACGAGAAATTGCCTCGAAGAATGGTCTTGTGAAAGTTGCTTCGGATCTACTCTCCCAATGGGATTCTGGTTCAGTTGGTAGGGAGAAACGTGAAGTTCCAAGGTGGGTAACAACAGCTTTTCTTGCTATCGACCGGCTGTTGCAGGTGGATCAAAAACTGAATTCTGAAATTGCAGAGCAGTTGAAGAAGGATGGTGTTAGTAGCCAGCAAACATCACTTAGCATTGATGAGGATAAGCAAAATAAGTTGCAGTCTGCATTGGGAGTATCTTCAAAGCATATAGAAGTAAAAGATCAGAAGAGGCTTATTGAGATTGCTTGTTCTTGTATCAGGAACCAGCTTCCTTCCGAAACAATGCATGCTGTTCTGCAGCTTTGCTCTACTCTCACCAAAACTCATGCTGTTGCGGTTCATTTTCTTGATGCTGGGGGTTTAAGTTTATTGCTTTCTTTGCCGACAAGTAGCCTCTTTCCTGGGTTTGACAATATTGCTGCTACCATTATCCGCCATGTTCTTGAAGATCCTCAAACTCTTCAGCAGGCAATGGAATTTGAGATAAGGCACAACCTTGTGGCTGCTGCCAACAGGCATTCCAATGGTAGGGTTTCTCCCCGCAATTTTCTATCAAGTCTAAGTTCTGCCATTTCTCGGGATCCTGTGATATTTATGCGTGCTGCTCAGTCTATTTGTCAAGTTGACATGGTTGGTGAAAGGCCTTACATTGTTTTGCTGAAAGATCGTGACAAAGATAAAAGCAAAGAAAAGGAAAAGGAGAAGGATAAATCTTTGGACAAAGAAAAAACACTGATGGCTGATGGTAAAGCTGCTCTGGGTAATTTAAATTCAGTAGCTTCTGGGAATGGACATGGCAAGGTTCATGATTCAAATTCAAAGAGTGCAAAAGTTCATAGAAAGTATCCCCAGAGTTTTGTGTGTGTGATTGAGCTTCTTCTAGATTCTGTGTGCACTTATGTACCTCCTTCTAAAGATAATGTTGTCGTTGATGTTCTCCATGATACACCATCTTCAACTGACATGGAAATTGATGTTGCTGCTATTAAAGGGAAGGGAAAAGCTATTGCCTCGGTGTCTGAAGATAACGAAGCTGGTACCCAAGAGGCTCCTGCATCTCTTGCAAAGGTTGTTTTTGTTTTGAAGCTTCTGACAGAGATCTTATTGATGTATGCTTCATCTGCTCATGTTCTGCTTCGGAAAGATGCTGAAATTGGTAGTTGCAGGGCCCCTAGTCAAAAGGGTCCTACTTCTGTATGCACTGGTGGAATATTTCACCATGTTCTTCATAAGTTTCTTCCATACTCACGCAGTGCCAAGAAGGAAAAGAAAGCAGATGGTGATTGGAGGCACAAATTAGCAAGCAGGGCTAGCCAGTTTTTGGTTGCATCATGTGTTCGTTCTTCTGAGGCAAGGAAGAGAGTTTTTACTGAGATCAGTTATATTTTTAATGATTTTGTTGACTCATGCAATGGTTTCCGGCCACCTGACAATGAAATACAAGCCTTTTGTGATCTGCTTAATGATGTTCTGGCTGCTCGTACTCCTACTGGTTCATACATTTCTGCGGAAGCTTCTGCCACTTTTATAGATGCTGGTCTGGTCGGATCATTGACTCGATGCCTCCAAGTGCTGGACCTGGACCATGCTGACTCGCCTAAAGTTGTTACCGGTCTTCTCAAAGCTCTCGAGTTAGTAACCAAAGAACATGTCCATTCTGCTGACTCAAATGCTGGTAAGGGTGACAATTCTACAAAACCTCCTGATCATAATCAATCTGGAATGGCAGATAATATTGGTGAGAGATCCCAATCTATGGAAACACCATCCCAGTCCCACCATGATTCTGCACCAGCCGAGCACATTGAGTCTTTTAATGCGGTCCAGTCTTTTGGTGGTTCTGAAGCTGTCACAGATGATATGGAACATGACCAAGATCTTGATGGAGGTTTTGCTCCTGCTAATGAAGATGACTACATGAATGAAAATTCGGAGGAAACAAGGGGTCTTGAAAATGGCATTGATACTATGGGTATAAGGTTTGAAATACAGCCTCATGAGCAAGAAAATCTTGATGATGACTCTGATGATGATGATGAGGATATGTCTGAGGATGATGTAGATGAAGTAGATGATGATGAAGACGAGGACGATGAGGAGCATAATGATCTCGAAGATGAAGTCCATCACCTGCCACATCCTGACACTGATCAAGATGATCATGAGATGGACGATGATGAATTTGATGAGGAAGTATTAGAGGAAGATGATGAAGATGAGGAGGATGAGGAGGATGGAGTTATACTGAGGCTGGAGGAAGGCATAAATGGGATTAACGTTTTTGACCATATTGAGGTTTTTGGTAGAGATCACGGTTTTCCCAATGAAACACTTCATGTGATGCCAGTTGAGGTTTTTGGTTCTAGGCGTCAAGGGCGCACTACTTCTATTTACAGTCTTCTGGGTAGAACGGGTGAGAATGCAGCTCCATCAAGGCATCCTCTTCTGGTTGGACCTTTGTCGCTGTCGTCAGCCCCGCCTAGGCAATCAGGTAAATATGCTTAAATGCTTTTAATGTGCCTTAACTGCTATTGTACATTATTCTATTTGTTTTCTCCTCTGATTGCGGGTTCCTGACTTCCAGATAATGCCCGTGATGCAGTCTTACCAGATATAAACTCAGAGGTCACATCTTCAAGATTGGATAATATTTTCCGATCACTGAGGAATGGGCGCCATGGACACCGCCTGAACTTGTGGATGGATGATAACCAGCAAGGTGGTGGATCAAATGCAAGTGCAGTGCCACATGGACTTGAGGATTTGCTTGTGTCCCAATTGAGGCGACCAACGCCTGACAAGCCTTCTGAAGAGAATAATACAAAATCAGTGGATTCTCAGAACAAAGGTGAAACTGTAGAGTTACAAGAATCAGAAACAGGTGTAAGGCCTGAAATTCCCGTTGAAAACAATGTCAATATTGAAAGTGGAAATTTGCCTCCTCCTGATACAATTGATAACTCTGGCAATGCTGATCTGAGACCAACTACAGTGAGTGAGTCTGTACAAGCAATGGACATGTCTAGCATGCATCCACAGTCCGTTGAGATGCAGTTTGAACACAATGATGCAGCTGTTCGGGATGTAGAAGCTGTGAGCCAGGAAAGTGGTGGAAGTGGAGCAACTTTAGGGGAGAGCCTTCGTAGCCTTGATGTTGAAATTGGGAGTGCTGATGGTCATGATGATGGTGCAGAGAGGCAAGCTTCTGCTGATAGAATGCCACTAGGTGATTCACAGGCAGCTCGAGGAAGAAGAACAAATGTCTCTTTCGGTAATTCTGCCACTGTCAGTGCAAGAGATGTTTCTCTGCATAGTGTAACTGAAGTTTCTGAGAATTCTAGCCGGGAGGCAGATCAGGAGGGTCCAGCAGCAGAACAGCAACTTAACAGTGACGCTGGTTCTGGGGCAATTGATCCTGCTTTCTTGGATGCTCTTCCAGAGGAGTTGCGAGCTGAAGTTCTCTCAGCACAACAGGGTCAAGCAGCGCCACAGTCAAGTGCTGAGCCTCAAAATGCTGGAGATATTGATCCGGAATTCCTTGCTGCCCTTCCTCCTGATATCAGAGCAGAAGTTTTAGCCCAACAGCAAGCTCAAAGGCTACATCAGTCTCAGGAACTGGAAGGTCAACCAGTTGAAATGGACACAGTCTCAATAATTGCAACATTTCCTTCAGATTTGCGTGAAGAGGTACGCTGTTCAGGTTCATTGGGCTGTGTTAAATTCACAATCAAATGTGTAATTCAAGCTGTAATAAATTGTTCTTTGTTTTTGTGCTCAGGTTCTATTAACCTCATCTGATGCTATACTTGCCAATCTTACACCTGCTCTAGTTGCGGAGGCAAACATGTTACGTGAAAGATTTGCCCATCGTTATAATCGCACCTTATTTGGTATGTATCCTAGAAACCGTAGGGGTGAGACTTCAAGACCGGGTGAAGGCATTGGATCTAGCCTGGAAAGAATTGGGGGAAGCATTGCCTCACGTAGGTCTATTGGTGCTAAGGTAGTTGAAGCTGAAGGAGCTCCCTTGGTTGACACAGAGGCTCTGCATGCAATGATCCGTGTACTCCGCGTTTTTCAGGTAGAATATGAGTGTAATAGGATTTTCCTTTTTATTTGCCTTCTCCTTTTTTATTGGAAACTGATAGACACAATTTTGCAGCCTCTGTATAAAGGCCAGCTGCAGAAGCTTCTGTTGAATTTATGTGCTCATAATGAAACCCGAAATTCTCTTGTGAAAATCCTCATGGACATGCTAATGCTTGATACAAGAAAGTCTGCTGATCACTCAACTGCTGCTGAGCCCTCGTATCGGCTTTATGCTTGCCAGAGTAATGTGATTTGTTCACGTGCACAATCTGGTAAGATCTCCTTTATGATGCATTAGTACCGAGAATGTTAGCCAATCAAGTGGTACTCAGGAACAGTATACAGTATCGTTCAGAGTTTTCTTTTGAGGATATAGCTGTAGTAATGAGATGTATAGTCAGAATGTTATTATCACACTCAAGGCAATATTATGATATAGGATAGTGGATGAAGGGAACTGGTGGGTTTCTTTTTCCTGAATTAGTTAGACCAACTTTTGGGGAAAACAAGTTCCATTGTGATTTTTAACTTAGTTTCCATCTTAGTAAATTTTGTTATCCTTTTGCTCTGGTTAAGATGTCTTAGTTTCATCTCACGGGGCATATTATTTCCAAAGTGCAAACATTTTATTTATTTATATATGTTGTTGTATAATTAGCACTATATATATTAAATGTTATTATATTACTTTTAAATTTATACTTCCCTAATATGGCGTCCAGTTCATTCTCACTTTCCCCACAAATTTTTTTTAGACAAATTTTTGGCGGGCCGAGTACGTACCAAGTTTTGTTGTTATTTGTAGCTTATTGTTGATTAGTACGTACCACAAAATTAGACGTTGATGTTGTGTTCTTTTGGGTCCGTGAACTTGTTAATCATCAAGCACCCAATTGTACCTTAGCAGCTAATTTAGTTGTTGTTTTTAATGTCTTGCCTGTTACTCTATAGGTGTTCCTCCATTGGTATCTCGACGGATTCTCGAAACTCTGACTTATTTGGCTCGACATCATCCTAATGTGGCAAAGATTTTGCTTAACCTGAGGTTGCCTCATTCTGCCCTGCAAGAACCAGATAATATTGATCACACACGTGGCAAAGCTGTGATGGTTGTTGAAGAGACTGGATCAAATAAAAGTCATCAGGAAGGATATCTATCTATTGCTTTGCTTTTGAGCCTCTTGAATCAACCCCTTTATTTGTTCAGAAGTATAGCTCATCTTGAACAGGTGAGAATATGCATGAATTTTTATTTTATTTTATTTTGTGGGGACTTCTAATTTTCTGTGAAACTTTAGTAATTTAGATTTATACTCATCCAAATATTCTTTTTACAGCTTCTTAACTTATTGGAGGTCATCATTGATAATGCTGAAAGCAAGTCATCTGACAAACCGGGGGTTGGGGTTTCTGTTTCTGAGCAACCTTCTGCTCCTCAAATTTCAGCTTCAGACGCTGAGATGAATACAGATTCTGGTGGGACTTCTGTTGTAGATGGTACGCCAGATAAGGTTGATGATTCCTCCAAACCAACTTCTGGTGCAAGTAACAAATGCAATACTGAAAGTGCTCTGCTTAACCTCCCGCAAGCAGAACTGCGCCTTCTATGCTCACTGCTTGCACGAGAAGGGTATGGAAATTAAACTTCTATTTTGCTAGCAGCTTTATCATTCTATTACTAAGACCGTTTCTTTTCTTTCTTGATCCTTTTTTGAACTGTACTTTTATCATTATTCATGATTAATTATGAAGATTAATGATCAGGAGATAATTATTGAGGCTTATAGCTACTACTGAATTATATACACAACTTGTGAGTTTGACGTTTTATCTTTTCAATCCAGGCTGTCAGATAATGCATATACTCTTGTAGCAGAGGTAATGAAGAAGTTGGTGGCAATAGTTCCTCCCCATTCGAACCTGTTTATTACTGAGCTGGCAGATGCTGTTAGAAATTTGACTAGAGCTGCTATGAATGAGTTGCACACGTTTGGTCAAACAGTGACAGCACTACTCAGTACCATGTCTTCTGTTGGAGCTGCTATTTTAAGAGTTCTGCAGGCATTAAGTTCCCTTGTTGCCTCTTTGATGGAGAAAGAGAAGGATCCACAGATTCATGCAGAAAAGGAGCATACTGTTTCTCTTTCTCAGGTTTGGGACATCAATGCGGCTTTGGAACCTTTGTGGCTTGAGCTGAGCACTTGCATAAGTAAGATAGAGAGCTATTCAGATTCTGCCCCTGATTTGGCAGCTTCATATAAAGCTTCCACATCTAAGCCATCTGGTGTAATTCCTCCACTGCCTGCCGGCACTCAGAACATCTTGCCATACATAGAATCTTTCTTTGTCGTGTGTGAGAAGTTGCATCCTGGGCAGCCAGGCCCTGGCAATGACTTTAGTGTTGCTGCGGTTTCTGAGGTTGATGATGCAAGTACATCTGCTGGCCAGCAGAAAACCTCAGGTCCCACATTGAAAATTGATGAAAAGCATGTTGCTTTTTTGAAGTTCTCAGAGAAGCATAGGAAATTGCTAAATGCTTTTATCCGTCAAAATCCGGGTTTGCTAGAAAAGTCTTTCTCACTTATGCTGAAGGTTCCGCGATTTATTGATTTCGACAACAAGCGGGCTCACTTCAGATCGAAAATAAAGCATCAACATGATCATCATCACAGTCCTCTAAGAATTTCAGTAAGAAGGGCATACATTCTTGAAGATTCATATAATCAGCTTCGCATGCGATCGACTGAGGATTTGAAGGGGAGATTGACAGTTCACTTTCAAGGAGAGGAAGGTATTGATGCAGGTGGACTTACAAGGGAATGGTATCAGTTGTTGTCCAGGGTTATTTTTGACAAGGGGGCACTACTATTTACAACTGTGGGCAATGAATCAACATTTCAGCCGAATCCCAACTCTGTTTACCAAACAGAACACCTTTCATATTTCAAGTTTGTTGGGCGAGTGGTGAGTACCAGAGTTATTTAGTGGCTTTTGTTGGACAGAATTGTTTAGTCAGAAGTTTATTCTGACATATACTATTGCAGGTTGGGAAAGCACTTTTCGATGGCCAGTTATTGGATGTTCATTTCACGCGATCTTTCTACAAGCACATTTTGGGGGCTAAGGTCACTTATCATGATATTGAGGCCATTGATCCTGATTACTTTAAAAATCTCAAGTGGATGCTTGAGGTATGTTTTCGACCACACGCTCTTCTTTCAGTCTCTTGCTCGCTTGTATGTTTTCAACCAGTTATTAACTCTCTCTTTCTCTCTCTCACCCCCATTTTCTTGCCCATCCTTTTGCAGAATGATATAAGCGATGTGCTAGACCTTACTTTCAGCATTGATGCTGACGAGGAAAAGCTGATACTATATGAAAGGACAGAAGTAATGAATATTTCATTTCCCTGGATGAACTAAATATTTCTGTTTAAGCTTTACATTTGTTATACTAACTTTCTTGATCATATGCAGGTGACAGACTATGAACTGATTCCTGGTGGCCGGAACATAAAAGTTACAGAGGAAAATAAGCACCAATATGTTGATTTAGTTGCGGAGCATCGGTTAACAACTGCTATTCGTCCTCAGATAACTGCATTTTTGGACGGATTCACTGAATTGATTACCGGAGAACTAATATCCATTTTTAATGACAAGGAATTAGAACTACTGATCAGTGGACTTCCAGATATTGATTGTGAGTTCCCTAGTCAACTTTTTATTTTTTCTGTATTGCCTTTATGTTGCAGGGCGTGCAATTCTTACAAAGTTTGCTTCCATGTATTTCAGTGGATGACATGAGGGCAAATACTGAATATTCTGGATACAGCCCCGCATCTCCTGTCATACAGTGGTTCTGGGAGGTTGCCCAAGGTTTTAGCAAAGAGGATAAAGCTCGTCTATTGCAGTTTGTGACTGGCACCTCTAAGGTATTAGTTTGCATTCTTTTTCTTTGTTTTCTATACAACTGGGATACAATTAGGGACACATTGATAACTGCTTCATTTGGAATTTTTTTTTCCGTTTAATTCAAGTAGTTGGCTTCTCATTGTAAAATAGAACATACTCTCTCAACTTTGGTTTAGTATTATGAAAATGTCCGCAAACCTTCGCATTGTTTTAGAAATTGGCATTGGAATTAAAAGAAGCGGCTGTGTAATTGGAGCATCACCTTTCAGAACATATGGAAAGGGTTCAATATACATGGGTCTCTTTAGTATGTATTCAGCTTAGTTGTAAAATTGTCTAGGTTTCCAGTTTACTGTCTTGCTATGCTTTCTAGTTTCCTTATTCAATAGATTCTAAATTCAGATTTTTGTAATTCTTCTTGAATGGTGTGAGACATGACCATAATCTGATCTGATTTTGGAATCACATAATTATGTTCACATTTTAGATATTTTGGCGATGTATTATGGCATGTACTGCATTGTTGCATAAGACGCAGTGTGAGCATTGCTTTTTCTTTTTTTCCAGGTGCCTTTAGAAGGTTTTAGTGCACTTCAAGGGATTTCAGGCTCACAAAAGTTTCAGATACACAAGGCGTACGGCAGCGCTGATCATTTGCCATCTGCACATACTTGGTATCATCTACTTTCATCATCTACTTTTTTCTCAATAATTGTTAGTCTCCAATTTGAGTATTTTTATTATCTTTGCTTCTGGCTATTTCATGTTTCAATTTTTGGTCCTTTTAATTAGCTTGTGGCATGCGCTTAGCTGAACAAAGCATTTACTTTTTTATGCAGTTTCAACCAGTTGGATTTACCTGAGTATCCTTCTAAACAACATCTTGAGGAGAGATTGCTTCTTGCGATTCACGAGGCCAATGAAGGATTTGGATTTGGTTAAGAGTTTAGGGGGTTATAAAGTGGTCACCATGTAGATAATATTAAATGTTCAAAGTTATATCATGGAAGGGTGTCTGGTAAATGGGCTAAGAGATGCTGAGTTTTTCTTGATGCATTATAAACTGTACAGTCCTTTTTTTCTTTGCAATGAAAGTGTCTTTGGCAGTTATTTTTTGCCAATTTGCTTTCACTCATCATTTTATAGCCTGGTAACCTTTTCTTTGATCTCTCTCTCTCTCTTCCCTCCACCAACCACACCATGAACGTTACAAACCGTATTCTTTATTTTAACGCGGTGCAAAATGCAACTTTATTGTTGCTCTTGTTTCTCTGTTTTATTTGGTCACAAATTTTGACGTCATTTAAAAACCTAAAACCCAAGGAATTTGGCAAAATCTAAGTGATTATATATTTATTCATCAGGCAATTTCATATTTCACCCTATCCATGGCTTGTTTTCAGACTACCTCTTCTGAAGAAATCATATTCCCTTTTTATATGGTCGAAATCACTCGTATTTAATTATTATGAGCAACAGAAAATAAAAACAAAAACTCCCGTGCTAGGTTCAACGTGCTAATTGTTACTTCTGAAAAGTTGGGGCTGCTCTTGTAGGAAGCATTTCTAACAAGGGTCTCTGAAAGTGCAGCTTCCATAAAACGCTTTTGTGACCCAGACATGCCCTTAATAGTATGTTTAATACTCAGACTTACATCCTCTAGTCTCATATTTACTGCTCATACATATACAAAAGGTCCAAAACATTTGGAGGATATAATAATTTTTCTATGATAAAAGTGGATGAAGTACAGACGAAAACTGATGTGCTAGTAACATGTTGAGGATGCTCTTGCTCTATCTTAACCAGATCCTCGACTGTTTCACAGCTGGAACCTGATCTTTATAGTTTTTGTTGTTAGGGCCTGCTTTCTGAGCAGAAGTTGATGGTTTTACGCTTCTTGTGATCCTGGCCAATGCTTTTTGGTCACCCGACATTTCTGTCCTTGATTCAGCTGACATCTTCCTATCAACCAAAGTAGCTGGAAACATGAGATTCTCGCTCCCTTTGCTTTGCAACTCCCTTCTTCTCCTTAATGCACGAAGGGAGTCGGTTCCCTTGAGTAGGACAGACTCCTGGTTGGTCATTTGGTTGCTGTAGCTCAAGCTCCTTAGCCTCAGTGGATCTATGTCACTGATAGTGTCACATCTGAACCAGGTTTTTCTTTCCTTCGGGGTGGCTCCTGACTTCTCAGCAGAAAATGTTGATATTGCGTGTCCTTGTTCGTTCCGTCTCCACTTCTCTTCGAGCTCTTTTACCTGAAAACATTTTGGGAGGGAGGGGATTACTAATTAGTATATCTGTCTGTCAATCATTTTTACATGCACAAGGAAACTTGTAGAAAGAACCTTTTCTTGAAGCAACTGAGTTCCTTTGTTGTTTTCCTCCATTATCAGCTTTTTCTCAAGTTCTTGAACCTGCCGCAACAGAAAGCAATAAAGTACAACCGTGGTCAATTTCCATGTGGTAGCATGCAAGACTGCTGTGTTTGTGTGTACAGATGGATTATATCCTAGAATTATAACATTGAATCTGAGATCTGAACAGAATACCTTCTGTACACTATGGCAATTACATTATTCTATTTCTAATATTTACACATAAATTACCAAAGCCCACTAGTGTCCATTGCATACGCAGCTAGCGAATATCTATATTATGCCTAAGTACCCCATTATAAGTAATTCACTACTAAGAACAGAAGATAAAAACATGGGGCTTATCAATTTACTTGCAAAAAGAATCTAGAGGAGCAAGATAATTTGCTGAATAAACTTCTCAACAAAATTTCAATTTCATTGCACTTATTAGGTCCATTTGAAATTGATAGAGAAAAAGAGGAACAATCAGAGGCCTGGAAGTATCTTTGATAATTTGGATTGTGATATTACATTAAAGAGAAAATGAAAATAGCCTTGAAGTTTAAGACAATTACCTTCCCCTGAACTATAGCCGAATGATGCTCAAACTCTTGTGTTCTTTCTTTTAACTTGTTCTCGAGTTCCTTAACCTATGTAGCATGAACAAGAAGTCAATATTCAACTGTTATTAACAAGGGCCCTAACTTCTAATTCACGAAGATCTGTCGGCAAATTTTCTCTGGTCAAACTCCTACGCTCTTTTATCTGACATGGAAACTAGTTCTTACGTTGATGATAACCAATAGTTCAGACAGAGCCATAGTTGTTCCTCTGATAAGTGAAGATGACTAAGTAATACGACTCATGTCACTCCCAATAACAGAACCACAGCGAGTGATGGTGGGAATTGATCCGCCTATCCACTTCCCTGGTAGAAATGATGACAGTCATCCCTTCCCACAATATGCAAGTGGAATGAAAATCACAGAAGTCTGACTCTATATTTGTGCAAGTGACAAGGGTCTTCAAAGAAAACAGTTCCATAAAAATTCTAGTTTTAAGTAGATTTCACTACAGACCTTGTTTTGAAGAATCATGGAATCTACATGTTCCTGTTCATTCAGCTTGTCCTCAAGATCTTTGACCTTTGGGAAAATTAGAAGCAAGATGTTAAACCAACATAATTAAACCGTTTATAACAAGAACATGAAGTTAACATAAATCATCTTCCAAGCCACCTTTTTCTGAAGATTCAAGCAGGTTTCACTCTTTCCATTTGCTTCCTCTGAAAGTTTCAACAATTGGTTTTCCAGTCGTCTGCATAGATCTATCTTCACTGCAATGTGGTCTTCAAGTTCATTAATCCTTTCTTGTTGACTTCTAGACAGTTGACACTCCTCTTTTGCTTTACCTTCTAGATTCTGAAAGCTCTCTTCTAATTTTTGTAAAGCATCATCTTTGAATCTCAACTCTTGCTTTAGCTTGTCAAGCTTCAAAACCAAAAAAAGCAAAAAAAATAAGCAACATCAACCATCTGTCAACTGCTGCCTCAGTTGAAAGGTCTCTTTTAATTTTTGTAAACATCATCTTTGGCCTTCCCAGGCCTTACCATTTGTCTCAGCTTTTGAACCTCGCCCATATCTATTTGCTTCCTTGCAGGACCCAACTCCACCCCTCGAACCCGTGCTGCAAAGTTTAGAGAACTTAGAGTCTCACTTAGATCCTGCTCAGAAGGGCTAATTTGGACAAACATAAGAGTTTTAGCATCACCCCCTGTGACATGCCAAAATAAAAAAATGCTATTACAAGCTGATCTCTCATACTTAAAAGATATTTAAAAAAAATAAAAACATAAAGAAAGAAAACTAGTAGTTACATTCAAGACCAGGTGATAAAAAATTAATTTCATCGTAACGTGAGAAAAAATAACTAATATTTCTGACATATGGTTGTTTCTCACTTCCTAGTTCTAAAGTATAAATAAATAAGGAATTCTACTTTGCCGTGTATAAATGCTTCCTTTTTTCTGATATATTAACAGCTCATTCAAGCAGCAAGCGACATTCAATTTTGTGTTGCTGCTTACCCAAGGAGTCTTGAAGTAGATGCGTGAGCTTGGAATTCCTACAAACACCAACAAGGACATCAGAATATGAGAATGGGATAGACAGGTCTAAATACAAGAAAAATAAAAAAAATAAAAACCTGTACGGAATGTGGCTTCTTTTTGTTGCTAAAGCAGAAATAACATCCCCAAGAGCTGAAAGAGATTTATTGATGTTTTGAGCTTCCTTAAGGCGTTCCCCTTGAACTTCAGTTTTTGCTAGCCTCTCACTGCCAGCCAAGTCCACAAGCCAAAGCTTGCTCATGGTGCATTCCCCATTGATCAAATTCTTTGCTTTTACCATGATGCAAAGTATGCTGACAGAAGATAGAACAAAGAACATCACATCATGGTAAGGGAAGTAATATTATAAAGGCCCACACAAGTACACCCTCTGTCTGCAAGGATCAAAATAGATCAGATCAATATATGTGGATAGAAGTTCAGGTCAATTCTAACCAATGAGATCGGCTGCTATGTTCATTCACATTGTTTGATCCTACTGCTCTTGCACTGCTTCCAGCTTTCAGAACATTCCAAGCCTCTTTAATGCCCTCAACTTTGGCTTCAACAATTCCATGTATGTGATGAACACCTTCAGGAGCTTGCCTCATCTCCAACCTAAAACACAAAGAAAACTTCTAGTCTACAAGGCAGTCTACATATTATATGACCAAACCAAGCCACATCTACACTAAGCTAAGCAATATTTAATGGCTAGCAACAAAACTATTGCAAACCAGGTGAGATTTCTGAGTTGCATGGTAAATTGTAATAGAGTGAAAATTTACCTTTTGGATGTTGGAGAGCTTGCTAGCAAGTCCCTGATTTGCTCATTGTAGACTTCAAGCACACTAACAGATATGTTGTATATGAAAGTTTCTTTCCTTTCGTCAGCAATTTTAAACAACTGTTCCAAGGTCCTATAATTGACCCCTCGGTTAGTATCAGAACCTTCCATTGTGAAAGTCTTTCCTGTCCCCGTTTGCCCATAAGCAAGTATACAAACATTGTAGCCGTCTAACACTGAGATTATCATTGGTGAAGCATCTGCAAATACATCGACTGTAACAGCAAGACAAAACTTCATGTCAATAAATTATCATGTGTAAGATCACTGATCAACCACCGCCCAATAATTCAATAAAAAAATTTATTCCAGGTTAAGTAATTTTTAAGGTAGAAAATTTCCGTTGTGGTGTATGCATACCTTGATCATCCTTTGGTGTGTAAATTCGGTCAAATCTGAATATCTTCTTAGTGGAGCCACTTGTAAGTATCCCAAGCTCTCCATCTTTAGCCGCATCAAATTGTACAACTGTTGCCTGCCCAGCCAATAGATCCTCTTTCCTGAATGGGCGACACCGACAAAACACTCTAATGTTCCCTGGAATGTAAATTTCAACGTAAGAGCATGAGCCAGTTCAAATCACAAGCCAATGATTGACATAAAGAAAACATGATTTTTTTTTCAAAAA